TTGGGGGCCTCTTGAATATGTATTTTTGTAAATGTATACAAATTTGTATGTATGTATGTATGTATGTATGTATTTATTTATTTATTTATTTATGTATGTATATATATGACTGTCGGTGTGTCTGTCCGCCTGCCTGTCTGCCTGTATGTCTTTATGCCTGTGTATCTATGTAGGTGTGTAGTACATAGATGTACATATATTATACACGAAACAATAGAAACATGGTTGTTCAACAGACAGTGTGCCAACTTTATTGAATCTCTGCGCGAGCGCAATTGAGCACCATCACCCTCATGAGCGCCACCGCATCATCCCCATAATCTCCATCGCCAATCGCCACCACTGCGGCCATCATCAGTCAATTACCTTCGTCACCGACATCTGGGAATCATCATCGCCTTCGTCGTCACCAACATCGGAATCGGCTTTGGCCTTGCCGTCGTCGCCCTCATCGACGGAATCCTCGCTACCATCATCATCGTTGCCGCCGTTGTCGACATCATGATATCGCGGGCGCCCGACCCGCACTGGTGCGCCCGCCCGCCAGCGCGGCCTTCGAGGCGCGCTGGGAACTTCCCGTTCGGCAAACGCCATCGCAGCCGCATCACTTGTGCCAAACCAACTGGCTGCTCTGCGGGCGAAGGTGCGCGCGTCAGTGCGGCCCCAGAGATGCGAGAGCCACTGCCAAACAGCCACAGCAATCGCGGCCACATGGGTTTCGGAAAAGGGTGGCGGGTGGGAGGACGGGTTTTCTTGCGCGGGCAGTGGAATTGCCAATTCGTTCCTGACTGGATTGTCCATTCAAAGAAAAAGGACACCCCTGGAGGTATCGACCCGCCCTGGGACACTGCAATTTACATGTTAACATGCGATGCTGCCTCAACGTTCATGTTGCACATGAAACCATACACTCCCAACCCAACCGGTATCGCCCCCTCCACTCGAATCCTTGCCAAATTAATGACATGCGCGCGCAGCCGTCGCGTATGCCAAAATATCAGTGTCCAATAATCCTTTGCCAACAATGACGCAACACCCACCCGCCCGCACACATGCCAATCCCAGGTCAACTACGAACGTCTTGCATGCGCTTCAGCATAAACGCATAGAGAACCCTCAGGTTCTCCAGTGCAAGTCTTGCACGTTGTCTGCCCGCGCGCATTTAGTGAACTCGTGTGAAACAACTATCTGACTCCAACAATCTCGTCCAGCACCCGCGTTTTCATGTCACCGGGTGTTGCATTTTTGTTGATCTAGCATGCGCCTAATGCGCGACGCCGTGCCACATAACACTATGCGGCCAAACCGCGCGCAACGCCACGCGCGCGTGTGTCGAATCCCGTTTAAATGAATTTGTCTTCAACACGTTTCACAATAGCGATCTTCAACAAAAAGATATGGCACCGCATGTTGTTCAACATCATGTGTGGTTCGTTTATTTGAAATTCTGCGCGCGCAATTTGCCACCATCACACGCGTCAACGCCATCGCATCACAACCGTCACCGTCATCGCCGGTCGCTGGTCTATCATCATCACAAACGCATGGGCTTCACCATCGTCATCGTCGTCACCAGCATCGGCGCCGTCAGTAGCCGTGCCGTTGTCGCCGTCGTCATCGCGACGACCACCCCTATGATCATCATCATTGTCCCATTGTTGACGTCTCATGATATCACTCCCGCCCGGAATTCCGACCCGCGCTGACACGCCCGCGCGCCAGCGCGGCCTCTGAGACGTGCTGGGAAGTTCCCATCGGCAAACTCCATCGTGGATGCATCAATTGTGCCATCCAAGCCAGATGGCCGCTCTACGCGCAATGGTGCGCGCGCCAGCGCGGCCGCATATATAAGCGTCAACCAGGGCCAAACAGTCACCGAAATTGCGGCCGCAGGGGTTTTGCAAAACAAGCTTCGGGTGGGAGGGCAGGATGCTTGCGCTAGCGGTAGAATTAACACTATAGCTGGCATACATAAGCTCTCTAGAAGGTATATGAAAATCTACCCGCCCCCACCGGGGTGTACGGGCCACGCTATCGTATGGCAATTTGCATACGATTGTGCCCCAGCGTCCATCATCAATATGAACTCGTACCATTACAGGCAGGCCGGTATCGGTTCCCCCCTCATTCTTTTGCCCCTTCAAAAAATGCGCGCGCACTCGTTTATCAAACGCCGTAAAAGTCCAATAATGCCTTGGAAAAGCGGGGCGACGTGCATTCGCGCGAACGGTCGCGCGCGCATGCCTATGCCGAAATCTGTCCAAAACCTTCGGCACGTAGGGATCTAAAGATGAGTGTCCCAAACACATATAAAAAACATATGGCTTTGCAACAACGTTTATCACAAACAAAAGAACTTGCGCTCGGTTTCTTGCACACCCCGACGAAAACTAAAGGTTTACACCATTTTCACAACTTGCTACCACATGGGCCTCTCGCGCGCGCATGTCGAAATTGCTCGAACGCCCCTGCGCGCGTGCTGTCGCGAGAACCCCTTGCAACAGACGGGGCGAAGTGCACGCGCGCGCGTCGTCGCGCGCACATGCAGAAATCTTCTAGAACCCTACGATTCGCACGGACGCGTCGGCCGACGCGAAGACATCGTCATCGTCATCGGCGGGCGTGATCAACATCGGCGCCGTCATTGGCCTTGCTGTCGTCATTGTCACCATCGTCACCGCCATCGCTTCTCCCATACTCGTGTCTACCGTTGCCGGCGTCGCCATGATACCGCGCCCGCCCAAGTCACCGACTCACATTGAAATGCCCGCTGGGAAGTGCCCAACGGTCAGCGCCAATGCGGCTGCGTCGGTCGCGTCAAACTAGATGGCCGCTGAGCGCGCGATCATGCGCGGGCTGGCGCGGCCACAGAGATGCACCAGCCAATGCCAAGCACTCATCGCAATCGCTGCCGCATGGGTTTTGCAAACGAAGTTGCGGGTGGGTGGGATGTTTGCAAGGGCGCGGACTTTGCCAACTCATTTGCAAAAATCAATTGCACCACTTAGCTTGCACCGCGCAACTTGCACATCCACAGTGCAACAAAGTGCTGTCTGGGGTCCAGCCAGGCAAACATGTTTTTTCAAGTGGGGCTCTTGCCCAACACGGCTTTGTCACCCGAACCGTTTTTGACGGTCGCTGGGCCCAGGAAGGTGCCTCAGAAGCCGCCAAGCAATGCCAATCCATTCCGGCGTGTTCTCGCGGCACGAAAGGGCCTAGACTGGTAGAGAAACCGATTCCGGCGAACTGGTGCCAATCCCGGCCGCCTGGGGCCAATCCGCGCTGCTTGTGGATGAGACTGGTGCCAACCCTGGCTGCTACTACAAATAAGTTGCAAAGCAACTCTATATTGCAGACGCTCCATACATGAATATGCATAAGGACACCTTCTCGCTCTCTCCATCGCCAGGGTTGGTCTATGTTCTCTGTGATTCCCCACTGGAATCGTATGTGAATCGTATACGACGCTTATGTGAATCGTATGTACCTAACTTCTAAGTGGATCGTAAAACGGTTCCAATGCATGCAGCTCCTATGTGAACCGCACATGAGTTCTATGTGTACCACTTACGGTCCAACATATACGAACCCTTTCTGACTCGTAGACGGTTCCCATATAAATCGTATACAAGTCCTACGTGTATCTTCACGATACCTGTGAACATCGTATACGTTTCTTATGTGAACCGTATGTAGATCCTGCACGCATCATGTGCGAGTCCTGTATATCGCACACGATTCAACTTGTTTCGTACACGAATCCGATGTGCAACGTATCTGGTTCTTATGTGAGTCCGATACGGTTCCAATGTGGATCGTGTCTGGTTTTTGTGTGGATCGTATCCGGAGTCTCTGTAGATCGTATACGAACCCTGTGCGAACCGCACACGGTTCCAATGTAACCCGTAAACGGATCCTATGTGAGACGTACCCAAATGCAGTGTGCATCTTATTTGATCCATCCCTATGGGAGCCGTATACGGTCCCAACGTGCACCGTATACATATCCATGTGAATCGCATACAAATCCTACGCGTATCGTAAACGATCTCTCTATGACTCGCACACGGTTCCTATGTGAATCGTCTACGATTCTTGTGTGCGTTACATTAGGTTCATTGCATGCGGCTCCTATGTGGGTCGCATCTGGCTCTTATGCGGACCGTATGCGGATCCGATGTACATCATATACGATTCCTGTGTTGGTATACGATTCCCATGTGAGCTGTAGGCGGCTCTTATGTGAAACGCACAAGCGTGCTAGGTGCATATTGAACGATCGTTATGTGAATTGTATGCGGTTCCAATGTGCATCGTGCACGCATTCATGTGTATTCCACGTGTGTCGTATACGCTTCCTGGGTTAATCGCACACGACTCCTAGGTGAGTCGTACACGAAACCAGTGTGAAGCGTATGCGATTCCTATGTGGGTTGGGTGCGATTCCGATTCCTACGTGAATCGTATTTGATTCCTATTTGAATCGTGCACGGTTCTGGTGTGAATCGTAAACGGCTCCTATGCGAGCCGCATAACATTATTATGCTACTCGTCTACGATGCCAGTGTGATTCGCATGCGTTCCCTATGTGAATCGTCTACGGTTCCCCACAAGGTGCTAAGGCTCCAAGGAAGAATCCGCAAGAATCCTACCAAGAGGCCTCTCAAAAGTCATATACTTCTTCAGAAGTGCGACTGAGGAAATCTCATTCGTATTTCAGAAAAACTACTGGCTAAGACATCTTAAGATTACGCCCTTATGCGTATTCAGAAGTTCCAAGCGTACTTCTTAATGCATGCTGCTTAACATGATACTCGATCGGGGTTGGTGTCGATTCAGCCTGGACGGGTCCCAAGCGGGCCAGGTTTGGGACCAATAAGCCAGGACCGCCCCCCTTTCGGCCTTCCCGCAAAGGGGGACCCGAACGAGCGAGAAGGCCCTCTGCCCACACACGCCCGCCGCGCCCAGGAGGCGGCAGGGATGGGGGAGAGGGACGCGGCCTCGTCCCGCGCGAGCGCGCCCAACAGCAGAGTGCGGCACTCGGGCGGCGAGCCCGCGGCCTCGTGCTCGGACCTTCGGCGCCCCCACCCCGAACGTAGAGCCCGCCACTGCGCTGGCAGCAGCATTGTGTGTGTGCGTGCGTGCGTGCGTGCGTGCGTGCGTGTGTGTGTGTGTGTGTGTGTGTGTGTGTGTGTGTGTGTGTGTGTGTGTGTGTGTGCGTGCGTGCGTGCGTGCGTGCGTGCGTGCGTGCGTGTGTGTGTGTGCGCGTGTGTTTGCCCCTCTTTCCGCCTTGCCTTACACCGCCGCCTGGTTGTTCGACCCCAGGTCGCCATTGCGTGCATCTGCGACGTGTCGTCGAATCGCGCTTCTTCGCAACGGGACTGTTGTTGCTGATGTGTCGCATAGCTTTACCCGCCGAGTGGTTTCTTTGGCGCGTCACAAGAAACGTGTGTGTGAATGTGTGTGTGTGTGTGAACCGCGCGCGCGCATGTGTGTGTGTGTGTGTCTCTGTTTTTGTGTGTGTGTGTGTGACTGTGTCTGTGTCTGTGTATGTGTGTATGCGCCCTTTTGTGTGTGTGTGGGTGTGCGTGTGTTTGTTCTCCTCCTCCTCCCTCCTCCTAATGCCTGGAGCGAGCACCGCACCCGACTGAGGTCAGGCGCGAGCGACCGTTGGTCAGGACGCTGAAAAGCGCGCCAGACGAACGACGAGGCGGGCGACGTTCAGCTCGCCCGCCTCCAGGCGACGCGGGAAGGCGCGCTGCGCTTCCTTCACCTTGTTCAAAAGGACAATTCGACTACCTCTTGTTTGGCCTCCGCGGCCCCTGGAAAGCCTCTGAACGAGACTCCCGCGAATAACAACAAATCTGACAGCTCTAGCTCCTCCCGACCTCCCCCCTGCCCCTGCCCGTTGAGTGGACCCGACAAACTGGTTCCTGCTCCTGGCGCTTCCCATAGGAAATCACGGAATCATCGAGATTTCGTGGTGACTCAAAAATCCCAAGGATCTCATGACGACTTCTCACTGCTATCCTGAAGATCTCCTCAGCAGTCCCAGCGATTACATGGGGAATCAGAAAGATGTCCTGGCGATGCCCGCAATCGTTCTAAGGATCCCTCCGAGTTTTCGAAACACACGCCGCATCATCTCAACGATTTCCTAAGGTCTGAGGCGCCCCACGACCACCTCAAGAGACGGGAGATTCCCTCAGGATTCCAGGAGACGTCCCCAGAGCGGCCAGCCTTCCTCAATCTGAACTGCCCTGCACGGAGGCCCTGACTTTCGCGGAGTCTTCCGAAGCAGGCTGGAACAGCTCGCCCCTCCCGGCGACCGATGCAGAAGCTCGGCGCACTCCGCCAAGTCCGCTGGGGCCTGCAGGGCGGCGCGCTTCCGTGACCAGGCGGCCCCCTCCTGCACACGTCTCTCCCCGCTCCTGCCTCACCGCGCTACCATCCTGAGAGATCCGCGCGCGCGAGGCGGCGCGCCCGAGCGGGGCATGGCGAAAGTACAGCCATGGTGCTGCGATAAGGCACGCAAGATCAGGAACGAAGGGGCTTCTCTGGTCACGACGAGCCTCGGCCACGAATCGCCCCCCCGACCTGGAGGTAAGGAACGGCAGGAAAACCAGAGCCCCTCCTCAGCCCAAAGCGTCTTGACTGTACTCTGAGTTTCTTGATAAGCGTCGGGGGGGGGGTCACCCCCGCCGACAGCCCCACATCGACCCCCGCCGCGGGCAGCCACCGCGCGCCGAAGGCGCTCCGACCCGCGTCGCGGCGCGACGACGAAGCGAGGTTGACCCCTGTCGGGAGGGTCCCCCCACGCTTCTTAAGCAACCCAAGGTCAGCGAAATTACCCGCGGCAAATTTAGCCGGGGAGGGTTCACTCCGGGAAGGTTTAACCAGATGAACTTCGCCTGCGGGTGGGACTTCCCTGGACAAAACCACCCGCAGGGTAGTTCACCCTGGCCGGTCTACCGGGGGACAAGTTTACCTGGGAGGAAATTCGCCTAGAGGAAGCTCGCCTTCGGGTGAACTTCCGCCCGTGGTTGAAAGAGGCGCCCTCCGGGCGAAGGGTGCTGGCTTCGAGAAGCCCCGCCACCCCACTCGGAACTCGCCATCGCTCGGACGTCCCTTCCCAGTGGATTATTCGATCTGGTATATGTTTTTGCCCCAAATATGCTTCAGCATAAGGGCTCTTACCTAGCCATACAATTTCGTTGTTGAAACTCTCTGCTGGCCTCGCCCTTCACATTGCCTTGATGCTGTTGTTGTTGTTGTTGCTGTTGCTGTTGCTGTTGCTGTTGCTGTTGAGCTCTCACCACTGAAGAATGATTATTGTTGATCACTTCCCTCCGGTGCACATGGCATTTTTTCGATTGATGTGCCCCTCCCGGCGCTCGCGCCCGGTTCTTTGTAAGGGAAACTTTTCCTCATCAAACTGTGTTGTTGGCCCCCGGGTTACAACAAAAACAACGGCTACCTCCTGAGAGCTCCTCACGATTTAGCCAGGACCCCCGCTCCCGCCTGAGACGCCCTCGCATGTTATTCAGGAGTTGTGCTTTCGCTCGGGACTTCCTTACAACTTATTGCGGAATCGCTCTTCGGCGCTCTACAGTCGCGCTTTCGCTGGAAACTGGGTTGCAATTTACTGAAGAATAGCGCCCTTGCGTTGGAATCGCATGCAATTTACTCAAGCGCCGCGCTCCCGACACTCAGGCACCCAGGAGTCGCGCTCACGCTTAGGACTCCCTCACAAATTACTTAGGAATCGGGATCTCGCTGCCCTTCGTGGTCCCGTTGCAGCCCTTCGTGGCCCCCTCGCTGCCCTTTGTGGACCCGTCGCTGCCCTTCGTGGCCCCCTCGCTGCCCTTCGTGGCCCCGTTGCATCCCTTCATGGCCCCCTCGCTGCCCTTCGTGGCCCCGTTGCAGCCCTTCGTGGCCCCCTTGCTGCCTGTCGCGGCCCCGTTGCAGCCCTTCGTGGCCCCCTCGTTGCCCTTCGTGGCCCCGTTGCAGCCCTTCGTGGCCCCCTCGGTGCCTTTTGTGGCCCCCTCGCTGCCCCTCGTGGCCCCTTCGCAGCCGTGTGTGGCCCCCTCGCTGCCCTTTGTGGCCCCGTTGCGGCCCTTCGTGGCCCCCTCGCTGCCCTTCGTGGCCTCCTCGCTGTCCGTCGTGGCCCCTTCGCAACCCTTCGTGGCACCCTCGCGGCCCCTTCGCAGCCTTGTGTGGCCGCCTCGCTGCCCTTCGTGGCCCCCTCGCTGCCCCTCGTGGCCCCTTCGCACCCTTGTGTGGCCCCCTCGGTGCCCTTCGCGACCCCGTTGCAGCCCTTCGTGGCCCCTGCTCGTTCGCGCCCTTCGTGGCCCCCCATCTGCATGCCCTTCGTGGCCCCGCTGTCGCCCTTCGTGGCCCCCTCGTTGCCCCTCGTGGCCCCGTTGCAGCCCTTCGTGGCCCCCTCGCAACCCTTCGTGGCCCCCTCGCTGCACCTCGTGGCCCCTTCGCAGCCGTGCGTGGCCCCCTCGCTGCCCTTCGTGGCCCCGTTGCAGCCCTGCGTGGCCCCCTCGCTGCCCTTCGTGGCCCCGTTGCAGCCCTGCGTGGCCCCCTTGCTGCCTGTCGCGGCCCCGTTGCAGCCCTTCGTGGCCCCCTCGTTGCCCTTCGCGGCCCCGTTGCAACCCTTCGTGGCCCTCTCGGTGCCCTTTGTGGCCCCCTCGCTGCCCCTCGTGGCCCCTTCGCAGCCGTGTGTGGCCCCCTCGCTGCCCTTTGTGGCCCCGTTGCAGCCCTTCGTGGCCCCCTCGCTGCCCTTCGTGGCCTCCTCGCTGCCCGTCGTGGCCCCCTCGCAACCCTTCGTGGCCCCCTCGCGGCCCCTTCGCAGCCTTGTGTGGCCGCCTCGCTGCCCTTTGTGGCCCCGTTGCAGCCCTTCGTGGCCCCCTCGCTGCCCTTCGTGGCCTCCTCGCTGCCCGTCGTGGCCCCCTCGCAACCCTTCGTGGCCCCCTCGCGGCCCCTTCGCAGCCTTGTGTGGCCGCCTCGCTGCCCTTCGTGGCCCCCTCGCAGCCCTTCGTGGCCCCCTCGCAACCCTTCGTGGCCCCTTCGCACACTTGTGTGGCCCCCTCGGTGCCCTTCGCGACCCCGTTGCAGCCCTTCGTGGCCCCCGCTCGTTCGCGCCCTTCGTGGCCCCATATGCATGCCCTTCGTGGCCCCGCTGTCGCCCTTCGTGGCCCTCTCGCTGCCATTCGCGGCCCCGTTGCTGCCCTCGGTGGCCCCGACCTTGCCCTCCGCCGCCCAATATACGTTCGCGTCCGTCGTGGTCCCGTGTGCGCCCTTCGTGGCCCCGCCGTCGCCCTTTGTGGCCCCTCGCTGTCCTGCGTGGCCCCGTTGCTACCCTCAGTGGCCCCGTCGTCCCCGTCGAGCATTATCTGCCCTTCGTGGCCCCCGCTCGTTCGCGCTCTTCGTGGTCCCATACGCATTCCCTTCGTGTCCCCGCTGTCGCCCTTCGTGGCCTACTTCGTTCCCTTCGTGGCCCTGCTGTCGTTCTCTTTCTCTCTCTCTCTCTCTCTCTATCTATCTCTCTCTCTCTCGCTCTCGCTCTCGCTCGTCGTCGTCGTCGTCGTCGCCGTCATCGTCGTCGAAGTCGTCGTCGTGGTCGGTCCCCTGTCCGTCCCTCTTGAAATCGGGTTGCCGCCGATCAGCGCTGCCGCTGACCAGGCGTCCGCGGCCGCCCCGCCGCTTGCCGGGGCCCGGCCTGCAGGGAAGAAAGGTACCCTCAAAAGGGGTGCGATCTAAGACGAAGAGGACGGGTATCTAGGGTTTCGGAAATACGCGTTAACGGACACTCGACCAGATAAGAACGCACAATCTTAACATCATTGTTGTCGTTGTTGTTGTTGTTATCGTTGCTGTTGTTGAATACTCATTTCTAGATACGAAGAAATGTGGATATCCGGAAACTGTTCCGTGCGATCTCGCCTCGACGCTGGCTACATTTCTCTGAAACCGCGGACCCGATCGAGCGTTGGCTTGAGCCTAAATGTGGCCCTTGGAAGCCCAGCTACGACGACAACGGTTCCCGCGATACTTCCTCACAATTTATCCCGAGACACCCTGGCCAGAGAGGCCCCCGAACTCAGGAACGGCGCTCTCGCTCGAGACTTCCTCGCAATTCAGTCAAGTCGGCGGAGGCCCACCCACGACGACAAGGGCTCCTGCTCGATACTTCCTCATTACTCCGAAGCCCGTGGCCAAGAAGGCCCCCGAACTCAGGAACGGCGCTCTCACTCGGGACTTTCTCGTAATTCAAGCAAGGTTGTGGAGGCCTGGACATGGCGACAAGGGTCCCCGTTCGATATTTCACCATAGGTATTCCGAGAGCCCCTGGCCAGAGAGGCCCCCCGAACTCAGGAACGGCGCTATCGCTCGAGACTTCCTCGCACTTCAGTCAATGGCCGACAAGGAAGAGATTCTCTCCGAAAGGGGGCGCAATCGAAGACGAAGTGGGCAGGTATCGATACTTCCTCACGATCTACTGCGAAAGCCCCAGGCCACGAAGGCCCCCTAACTCAGGAACGGCACTCTCGCTCGAGGCTTGCTCGAGATTCTGTCAAATTGGTGGAGGCCCAACTGCGACGACAAGGGCTCTCGTTTGATACTTCCTCAAGATGTATTCGCAGAGGCCCTTGCCAGAAAGGCCCTCGAACCCAAGAGTGACGCTCTCGCTAAAGATGTTCCAAATTGGTGGAGGCCCAGACACGGCGACAAAGGCTCCCGTTCGATATTTCTACACAATTATTCCGAAAGCCCCTGGCCAGAGAGGCCCCCGAACTCAGGCACGCCGCTCCCGCTCGAGACTTCCTCGCACTTCAGTCAGTGGCCGACACGAAAAACTACCCTGTGACGTACCCAACCCTTTCTATACATGTGGCGATTCTACCCAGGATCACTCAGTGCTGGCTGGCAGTCTAAAGGACCCGCAGTGCGCAAGAAGAGCACCCAACAGTGATTTCAGACGAGCGCAGCCAGAAAAGGAACGGCAACTATACAAAACGGAAACACAGGGGCGTTGAACGAAACACGTATGACGTACCTCCGAATGATCCACGTGGGACGTACCTCCGCTGGGCCTCCCAAGAGCCAACGAAAATTGCGACAATTGCGCAGATCGCAAGCCCCCCTGGGGGCGGCGAGCTACCGAGGTGATCCGCGTGGGACCCACCTCCGCTGGGCCTCCCAAGGGCCCACGAAAGTGGCGACAATTGCGCAGATCGCAGCCCCCAAGGCACCGCGAGGTCCCGAGGTGATCCGCGTGGGACGTACCTCCGCTGGGCCTCCCAGGAGCCCACGAAAGTGGCGACAATTGCGCAGATCGCAACCCCCCAGGGCACCGCGAGG